ACACCTTCCCACAGCTCCTCAGTGACTCATGTGTCCATCCAAAAAATATCCCACCACCCTTTTTCTGCTTTAAGGCATATACCACTGAAAATATATCTTTGAGTATCAAACACTCACCTCCTTGTAGGCTTAACAGCTGTCTCTCAAAGTCTGTACCTTTCTCCCTTACAGAGGAGTGTTGTAGTGGTCGTATATTCATATATAGAACTGAGTTTTATTTCTTTTCTTGTTGGTTCTCTTTGCAGTGCTTGGAAATGTAACCCTCCAGTTGACACATCTCTTCTACTTATACTATTGAATTAATAAGATAATGGAAGTAAATTCATCTGTTTTTTTAAGTATGAATCATTACAAATATGCAGTGTTTTTAAAATAGCAGACAGTTACAGTTTGTTGCATCAAGAACAATAGATAATCATTTTATAATCGCATCGTATCCATTTGAATCGGAATCGAATCGTGAGGTGCCTAGAGATTCCCACCCCTAATCTTGACCCCCTTTTTTGCCTGCAGGCGGTTGTGAGTCGATTGTAAGACTTGTGATTCCAATCGCAATCTGCAACTTCTGTCCTGTGCAAAGGAAAAAGCTGGAAACCTTTCAGAGCCCCCTTTCAAGTCTACAGGGGGTGAATATTTGATACTGTAAAGATGTATGTATTGGCAGTATATTACACCCACCCTTTATCACTTCCCCTTTTGTTTCTTGTTTTATCTTATTTCTGTCTTCATCCATCCCAATTTCTCTGACATTTCATCCATTATTTGAGCTCATCTTTTTAATGTTCTAATGTCTAGCAGGGATGTAACAACGGCTAAAATGCCAGACAGCTCTGACAGTTGTAAGGTTAAAGCTTTCAGTTGCTGCCAGAGTGTTATGGGTGTTATGACTTACAGTAGATGGGCCTGTCCACGCTCACCTCCCCATAAATGCTGTCAGGATACAGCAGCTTGCCAACTTCAAAAAACACTCCAGTCTGAAAGTCCTGCTGCCTCAGAGAAACTGTCCACATTAAGACTGACCAATGGACTGTTTTACAGAAACAGCTAAGGGGGGGATAAAAACAGCTTTGAAAGTTTGGGAAGGTAAAATTGTTCTCTGCGGATGAAAGAGCTTACATGTCATGTCCTCCGTCTTACTGGATAGGCTTGAAGCTCCTGCAACAGTATGGAGTCAGTCATTTAAAAACACTACATTAGTGCTCCGGTGCTGCTGCATTGCAGTTCAATTTAGTTTTTGCCAGCGGAGAGGTCTACACAGTGTGCACATTGCTTTGAAAGACTGACTCATTCCTCAGGCTGCAGTGCTGTTTGACTTGCAGGGCAACATGAGAGCACGGAGATGACATTAAAAGAAGGAGATGGACAGTTATTATTTACAGATATGGCTTTTGAAGGCTGGTATAGAGGAATGCATATAGAAGTTGTAGAGAAAAGACTGAGCATTGTGAAAAACGTCTCCTTTTGAGCATGATGAGACAATTCGTTAGTCTGTTGCAATCACATGGTTTACATCTCTGATGCCATGTAATGAAAAAAAGTAATGAAACTAGCCCCAAATCCTCTTTTTCCTATATAGTCAAGCTGTTGCTTTATAGTGAAAGGGAAACAAAATAGCTCCAACATTTTACCAATTTATTTTCCACAAAGAAACATCTTTAAAATAGATACAACAGCATTAAATTCAGTGAATCAAACTGACACAGTTGCAGTTGTTGAGAAAAATTGTGTTTTAAATGAGCAAAATCAGATATGTTGTGACTTCTAAAATGCACCTTCACAATATTTCAGTGTTACGAAATCTCATTTCCAGCTCCCAATGTTTGGTTTGAGCCATCGTTCATCCAATCACTACAATCCCCTTTTAGCATTACTGTACATTTCCTCTCAAGTATGGCGACAGGAAGCAACTTCAGACAGCACAGCTAGAGAACTATAGGCCTCATTTTCACTGAGCAACACAATCTCTGACAACGGCAAGCTTTACCTCCAGACGTCCAGCTTCAACATGGTCCTCCTCACATCTTCACACCCCCCAACTGTTGCATCACCGCGGTGCCATCCTCCTATTAGGGCAGGTTCAGGAAATTAACTCCTCTTTAATACCCGGGACTAGACGGCATTTCCCCTATCACAGCTTCCTTGTGTCCAGAGGGTTAGTCCAATTTGCCATCATTTTAAAACACAAATATGTAAACAGCTTAGAATATATGCACACACGCAACAAAAAAAAAAAAAATCCAAAGCACATCATTCCACGGCACAGTTGTTTCTTTTTTTTGTCGCTCCTCTGCAGTGCAAAAAAAAACAACAACAACAAAAAAACAACAAAAAAAAACTACAACAACGGAAAAATAACAATAAATAGACTTCCTCTGGTTTCTATATTTCTGTGTTTATGTATATACATATATATATTTACAGTGATGGGTCTCTACATGAGCACACAGCTCTTGGCCCGGTCCTTCCTCATGGTCGGGGCCTCGTCTATTTGCTCAGTCCGACCCGGCAGGGGTGGCAGGGGCAGCTGTGACACCCGCTTCAGGCCTCTGCGGGAACTGCTGCGTTTTAGCTGCGGCTTGTGCGGCCGCCGCACCGACGCCACCGTGGTGACGTGGAACACGTCCCGAACGCTGTTCTCTGAAACCTTGGATGTGCACTCTACGTAGGCCACCGCCCCCATCTGTCGAGCTATCGTGCTGCCCTGGAACACGGAGACAGGCAAGAGACAATTAGCAAGCAGGCAAGCTTCATTTATGAGACTGTTTTTCAAAACAGGAAACATGAAAAGGGGAGAATACATGCAACATTTTATCTGCAGTGCCACAGAAAACTTCAGCTAGTAAAACTTGACATTTTCACAACACATTTCTGTTACACTTTTTCTCCTTTCAATGGTTTTGTATTCAACCTTCAGCCTCTTTTTTTTTTTTTCTCCGTGATGTGTTATCTCTTGTTTCCCTTTAGAGGTTGTGCTTTAGAGCTCCACATCAAGGTGTTGTGAGAGCGCTTCACAAAGAAATTCAATTTTACAAGACGCACCTTATCCGTCATTGTACCTTGTCAATACGCAGGCATTATATCTGAACTGTGGAAGACTAAATGTCCCTGAAAGAGGCAGCAGATCGGAGACAAGCATGTCAATCTAAACCGTAGACTGAATGTCAATGATCTAAACATGTCTGGAGACAAATGCAGCTCCTCCAGCTGAGGCATGAATAATGTAGAGGCTCGAACTCCTCGGCCTGTGGTGAGAGAGTGGGAACAGAGCCCACTGGGCCACTGTTGACATGGTCTATGCAGCTATTTAGAGAGAAGAGACTAAACTCTAACTGAGCTCCTCCAGCACTGGAGCTCACCCCTGAGTAATGTTACAATATGCCCAGTTAATTGAGACTGTAAATTGTTTGCTTGAGATCAAATCAGGGAAAAATTTAATTCCAAAGTCCCTCTTGCCTTTCTCTTCGCTACAGTACATCAAAACACAGTCACGTAGGATCAAAACAGGTTAAGGTTGTTACCGATGAGACAGGAATGCATTTCCCATGACCCTAAAATTGCATGTTCTCCAACACAGAGAGCTTTTCATCCCCAGTGGACGTGGTTTGATTTTTTTATCGCGGCGGTTCACTGAGCCGCATATAAGAAGCAATGAATTCCTCATTTGGTGGAACGGCAGATTTAGATTCAGGGGTGGCGGCTGGAGAGGGCCAAGGTAGAGATTGTCGTAACAAGCGGAAAAGGCTTGATGAGATCTTGGGCAGATTAATGCGGAAATGTCTGGAGTTCACCCAATGGTCGCTCTCTCCGGCGACTCCTCAGCTGTGTTGGAATTCAATTTAGGATCAACAACAGGATAATGATACAGGCTATTGGATTAGAGCACCAAAGATGTTTATTGTGCACAGCTTTAGCTTCTGCTGTGTGACGCATGTTTTCTGGGCTTGTTGGAAGGACGAACAGTAGTCGCCTTAGATGAAAACAGTGACTGAGAAGGAGCAAAACAATAGTTTAATGTAGGCATGGCCACAAATGGTCCCCATCTATTTTAACATCAGCTCTGTGGTTTGCCACTCCATCTTTTGTTTATGTATCTTATTTACATGAACTGTTGTGTTGTTTTCAGTTGCTGATTTTTTTTTTTTGGAGGCTTCGTGCTTTTAGCCTCCGGCAAGCTCTGAGACAGCGCTGGAACAAAGGCTCCTTTGTTCTGAGGGCTTTTGTGTGGTGGGGAAAAAGCCCCTCCACTTTTTGTATGTCCAACACGCGAGAGCACAAATTGAACACGCTGAAAGCTGATTTAAAATTCACAGATTTACAGAACAGTTCATCATCCCCTTGGCTTAGAGGTCATGGCGGCATGCGATAAAAGGGCTCACTCATTTATCAATGTCTGTTTTTCTATTCATCCGGCATTTTGAAAATCCCCAAATCTGCATGAATATTTCATTTCAGGGAAAAATGTGTCCCTCGACATAAACTCCCCCAACCGCCTGTGCCTCTTCCGTGGCCCTTGCCATAAAGCAACGTTGCATCGCCTGTCAGCTGCTTTCGGTCAAAACGCCAACCCCAGCAACATATCCCAGAGGGGTTTCACACGGCTCTTAGTCTGCTGCGGTTGATTGTGTTGCATGAGTCCCCTTTCACACTCCCTTCCTGCGGGACTTCACCTGAGAGGCAATGCCAAGAAGGAAAAATTGTAGATAATCGCTGGATCGCTTTCTAATTTCTTTTCCCGGAAAACCATTGTTGTTTTCAAGTCTGTCTTTTTTTGTCCCCCAGGGCACCATCCAAGTCCTTCTCTCATTTCTCATCCCCCCTCTTTCTCCTCACATATCCATCACGGGCATGTTCTCACCTGCTCGTGGGTGACGGGGATGAGGCGCTGCTTGGAGAGCTCCCTCAGGGTGCCGACGTCTGTCCTCATGTCCAGCTTACAGCCCACCAGCACCACTTTGGCATTGGGACAAAACTCCTGCGTCTCCCCTTGCCACTGTTGAGACATGAACCGACAGAGATGCATCACTGATTGTGCCAAACACGAGCGTAGAGCTGCCTGTACCGACTGCGATACAGTGACGACCTTTTGGTCGTCCGACACTGGACACCTGAGCTCGATGGGGATTAATGCTCTCTTGATAAAAGACAATTGTTCAGCTGAGGAGTCAAAGAGAAATGAAAATGTCTTTAGAATCTACTGATAACAGCATTCCTGAGACTTAAAGGCAAATCAATTAATTGAAAAAATAAATGGTTAGTTGCACTCCTGTAAAGCATAAATTCATCAATGCATAGTGACATTAGGGCTTCAACTAACATTTTTGTAAATGAATGACAATTATTCTCTCGGTTAACCCCTTAATTGTTTGGTCAATACCAGAAAGCAGTGAAAAATGCACATAATATACTGAAATGTATCACATCTTCACATTGCTTGCTCTTTATTCATGCCACCGTGGTTCAGGTTTCTCCAGTACCCGTCAATGTATTTCAGGTTCTGTACAGAAAAGGTCTGAGCAGTCTTAAATGTCACTTCTGACACTGAACCAACACTCTCTTTTCCCTGCTGGTTAATACACGACTGCAGCCGACAGCCCTGAAATATTCCTTATGCCGTGTGCAGAATGTCAGGGTGTCCATTCGCCCTTTATGTTGAAAACAACCTTTGACCTTTCAAGCCCACCCCTATTCTACCAATAATACCCTATCAAAAGCTTTGATTGTTTAACCCGCTCTCCTCCCCGAGCTGTCATCCAGAAACCTTGGTTTGCTTGTTCCTAGAGGTCAAGAGTCTAATTTGGGATGGTGATTGTGCAACAGGTTTTCCATGTGCCCCTGAGTTTCAGAGATTACCAGGGCGACAGCTAGGGGTCAGGGGTCATGGTAACCCCCTGCCAAGGGATACATGGGAAAACCAAAAAGCTTGACGGCAGCTCTGCTTCCCCCTGTTGACAGAGAGCACTGAGGCTTGTGAGATATGTGTGAGTAAAAAAAAAAAAAAGGTTAGTTCTACGAAATCTGCAAGGGGCATTTTAGCAGCTCCCCTCAGACCACTAAACACGTCAACGGGCCAGCCGTGGGAACTGTCTTTGGCCCACAGGGAGCGCAGTTCAAAGGCAAACACACACACATGGCTTCAAGATGAGAGACCACTAACAGGCACAGGCCTATTTTATGTGACACCCATCCACGCAAACACAGCCATTACGTTGGGTGTCCCTACATATACAATAGGTATTGCCACCAGCTGTAAAAACACTTCCATGACCACAACCTCGCCCTGCCAGTATCACACTTTAACCGCCACCCCAAACTCAACTCCAGTATCGCAACATCTGAACCATAGATTCCATTACAAATTTTAAGTGCCACCATCTGGCCAACTTTTCTGCTTAAAACTTTGGTTTTTAATTTCAATATAATTTTAGATTGCCTACAAAAGAGCCATTTAAGTACTCGGGAACAGACTCTGCAACAGCTCCCCTTTGATATGGCTGATGTGGCTAATTTGCGTACGTGATATTCCTCTCGCAGCCACTCGGATGCAAAGCCTCTCCTTTCATTCTTCACTCTGACCTTCCGTTCCTCAGAGGCCCACGGGTCAAGTGTCCATGGACCTTTTAATGAGATAAAGGAGCGGGAGGCTCTAACCTCTGTGCTGATTTGCTCTATTGTTGAGCCATGAAAATGCAAGCTGCTGCTGCTGCTGCTGCTGCTGCTGCTGCTGCTGCTGCTGAGTGGGAACAAGATGCTGATCGGGAGAAACTGATTTTTTTTTTTCCCGGTTGGTTCTCCGGTGTCACAGCAGATATTGAATGCTGATCCAAAGTGTTGAGAGGAGAAGATGAAAAAAAAAACACTGACCTTCTTTATGACACTGTCCAAAGTCTCTGGGCGGCTGATGTCGAAACAGACGAGAACTGCATCCGAGTCAGGATACGCCAGCGGCCTCACATTATCGTAATAAGAGGAACCTGTGGAAACACAATAACATATGGCATAAGGTCACGGTGTTTTCTGAGAAATTCCTGTGTGTACTTGTTTTTAACCTGAATTAAACCCCATGAGGTTCTTCATCCCAGCCATACGGCTTATTCTGCCTATTAGAAACATACTGCATACTCCTGGAAGGTGATCTAAAGGTCAATAATACATGAAGAGCTCGTTAAAGCAGAGGCTATGACCTAAACATGGATATGCTGCATCTTGAATGCACTCTGCAGACGCAGATGAGTCTTGATCTTAACAGTTGTGTGCACATGTTTCAGTATCTTTGTCTCTTGGGCTTCCACACAGCTGTGGCCTCCCTTCATCAGAGTGCTTCATGAGGAATGTCGATGGGGTTACGCAGACATGCACACACACACTCAAAAGTGAATAATAGTGGGTTGAAGACCGGAGAACTTGTGCACACAATCCATAATCACCTTGAAACAACAGCGAATGCCAGCACAAAGGCCAAACTAAAGGTTGAACCCCTTCATGTATTATTATTATTATTATTATTAACCCCTTTATTGGCCATGTATGCGCACGCATACATGGCCAATAAAGCCGATTCTGATTCTGATTCTGATTTATTTTGTTGACTCAACCCTTTTGCTGTCTCTCTTGCAAATGGTCCGTGTTTTAAAATCCAAAACTTATTTCTGACTCGAGATTCACATGCACTCGCACGCCTTTCCCCACTCTCTCTTTTCATTGCTGTACCTTGATCAAATTTGAAGGCGGCGTGGTGCCTCTGTACTTTCACAAGTCGCTCGGTTCCACGGGTCCTGCTCTCCTACAGCTCTCATTAGGAGGCTTGTAAAAATATCTGGGCTCTCTCTCTGGAGCTGTGGCTGTGGGCCTCCCTCCCTCCTGCCTCCCCTGGGAATTGGTACGAAACTGAACTCTTACATTTCGATAGCAACAGCACCCTGGCTGCATTCAGTTTAGTGTCACGAAAACTCCCATGTTTGGGGACAAATCGTCACATTTTACCTTTACAACTACAAGAAATGTGCATAGAGCTGTGAATCACATACTGTTGATGAATGTTGCATACTAAAACAACTCAGATATTACATTTAATCTCTTAAAGCCACGCCAACTGAGTATGATAATTATAGATTATCATTATAGTTGCTGTTAACATGCTCATACCAGATCCGACACACTAGGCAGCCAGCTTGTATAAAAGAGCTGTGAGACTTTGTCTGGCGGGGTGAATGGAGTCTGCACAATAGCGCTACAGCCTGTTTTAGCATCACTATGTTCTCTTTGTTAATAATGGAATGACAAGAGCTGCACGCGGCCCGTAGACCCAGTTATTCAGCTGGCTGTCCAATAATGACCTGCTCCCTCCGCACTGAGAACAATGTTTTTGTTTACATTCCGTTTCTCACCAAATTTCACTTTGCCATCAAGGGCTAACAAAAATTCTATCAAATCTTTAAAGACTTAAAAAAAAAAAGAAAATGCTGTGAAATCTGCATTGTTGATGTTGGCTTGCAGTCTTCTTCTCTCCCGTTATTGTGGCATACCACTAGAGATATGCATAACCCCACCCTCTGCAGTCAGCCTATCACACTATAGTTGGTGTATGCATACATGTGGTGTATGTCATGAATGTACGATGATAACTGTATACTGTTACATAATGGTGCACTATTCATTTCATGAAACTTGCTCAGTACATACGTAAACGTTCTTCAAGCCTCTCTGTACAAATGAAGGGCACGACAATATTGTACTGATACAGCTCTTTGCAACTTTTTAGTTTTTATTGGTGACACAAATTTGCCATGATACAATCATTTGCATTGTTTTTAGAACAATGTAAGCAATGCAATGATTAGCTATGATTGATATGAGAAAGATCGGTTATGGGTACAATTGTTTCTGGGCCGCTGCGCATCGCTTGACTTGCAATCTCAAGTGTAACAACCATTCTAAATTACTGCACAGCCTGGCACTGTTGCTGTGGGCTTGGTGAATATTAATCCGTATGAAAACAATACAGAGACCCCAGCATATCTAGTGGTGAAAACTAAGTGGTGCCTTTAAACGCAGCAAAACCCTGATGGCAGTTTTGTAAGCTCTTTGACACAAACACGTTTAGCAATCTTGTTTCTCCTTTTTTTTAAACATGCACTGTAATCATATTTTCAGTGTAATATAAAAGAAAGAAATGAAAAATAAATGTAATTTTAGCCCCCCCCTGACAGGACATTATCCGGAAATCACAGTCCCGTCATCGTCTTAGTAACACAGGATTGCTAGTGTTTTGTAATGCTGACAGAACAGGACTTGCACACACACACACACACACACACACACACACACACACACACACACACACACACGCAAAAAAAGCCCAATAACACAGATGCCAAGTTGAACAGTCAGCAAAGCACACATTGAACAACAGCGAGCTCTGATTGGTAGTGGTCACACATGAGGTGCTGTAGCTGCTGAAGTTGGTCTTTAGTATGTATCACAATGCAGCAGACCATACTGAGGTTAGAGCTGAGGAGGAAAAGAGCATGTGGAGGTGGAGAGGGGACAGAAAAGATTTAATGGCTTTGATGCGAGGGCGAGGGCATATGCAGAAGCATGAGATGATGAGAGAAGCAACCGCGGAATTACAGACTCCAGATGAAGGGGAAGAGATGTCAGGTGAAGAACAGTTGAAACAATGGTCCTTGTTTGACTTGAGATGTAATTAGAGGCTGGAACGAGGCCTCCGGGATCAATTTGTCGATCCCAAAGATCCGAATGATTGGCAGGTCGCGGTCACGACGGACCTTGTCACAGTGCAGCAATTCTGAGCTCTTCTGCCTTGAGCGACAAGAAAGCTACCTCAGCACTTTTTGCAAAGTCAGAAAGAAAAGTCCTCTAAGGGAGAGGAGAAAAGGGCTGCATTTAAAACAAGCCGAGCAGGCACAAATAAAAGCCGATCACCATAACGATCAACAACATGAGGAGGAGGAGAAAGGGGGGGAAAGCAGTTTTCTCCTGATTGTAAAATATATCGCCTCCACCGCCTGAAAGGCACTTGTACGCCTTCCAGCGAAGAGACATGGCCAGAGATAAAAGAGGATGTAGCTGTAGAGGAGGGGAGGAGAGGGGCTGCACAGTGGGTGTTTGGTAGGTAATGAAAGCACTGGACTCGGCAGGACAGATCAAATAAAGATGTATGAGAGCTCTGGGTTGGCTATTGGTGAGACTGGCCTGTGCCCATTCACTGTGAGGTAGAACAAAAGGTCAATTGAATTTCAGACGGAGCAGGATGAGATGGATGGAGCAGTAGGGTGAGGGAGGGGAGCACAGCCTGGCAGAAACCACTAAAAACCATCACGCCTGACAAGGAGTGGGACCCTGCCACGTCGTGCCAAAGACGGGCATAAACCACCCCTCACAAAACCTCCTCGAGCATTAGCATTAGCCTGATTTAGCACCGGCGATGTCCCACAGTGAAAAGTGGATTTTTGTCTTTATTTCCACGGGGCTAATTAGCGCTAAGCCTCGCTGCGGCGCCATGCAGGAGGCTCTGCCGAGGTGACAGAGGTGGGAGGACAGCGTTCCTCAGTAGCCGTCAGTCGAGCTTCATCAAAGGCCTGAATATCCCAGCAGATGTTGAGGCGGACAGGAACGCTAATGTACAGTAATAAGGCTCGAGGATTTGTGGTTTGACTTCATTTAGGCCTACTGTCCCCTGACACATTGAGTCCCCCATAGGGACAGTCTGTCTGAAACATGACAGCTCTCTGTCTGCTCATTCAAACCCTCCTCTCTGAGAATTTCTGTTTTATGAGGACAGACGATGAAATAAACTGAACAATAAAACGCAAATGATGCATTTAGATGGAGAAGATTCTTTAGAAAACCTGTGAAATTGAGTGTGCATTAACATCTAACAAAGCCTTCCAGTCATCAGTGCATTAATCTGTACCATCACAGCAGGGATTTTCTCTATCTCTCTGCGTCTGTTGCATGCTCATTGCAGACACAGCTAAAAAGCAAACCATTATGAGCGAGGGGAAAAGAACTTTTCCTCGTGGCTCTGATGTGTTCATGCACATATGGCAGGGAGTCAACAGCAGCTCATTAGGCCACATAGACATTCTGAAAAAAACAAAACACCCATGCATACAGACAAAGGCAGGGTATAAGGAAACAAACACCCTCTCAAATGTGGACAAATAAACGACAGCAGTTAGTGTGACTGAGTTAGCCAAAACCTTAGAAACGCAACACATTCAACGCCACATACCCGGCGTCTTTATTCTTTTCCTGCAGCTGTTTTCCTCTTGAAATGCACCTTCAAAGCAAAGGCAAAACATTTCAAGTTGGGGTGACCGTGTATCGTAGCAACCCGGAGGGATGCAAATGGCTTCATTGTGAGGCCTTGAAAGGAAGTAAGGAGGAAGCGAGCAGGAGAGCGGAGGGGATCGTGGAGGCCAATGACTCCGGTGCATTGATTATTAGAGGTGACTAAAAGCAGGAGAAGAGGGTTGGCGCTCCATCCTTTTTAAAAGGTTGAGCAGACTTTTCATTGCTGATAGTTCGCTCTGTGTTGTGAAATGTTATGGTTGCTCCTCAATCAGGGTTCGTACTCGCATATAAAAAGAGACAGCTGCCAAGACACCCTTTGAGAGGAGGTGAAGTTACTTTGACCCAGTGTACCCATCTGCTGCTCAAGACGGCGTGTTTTCTTGTGTGAATGTAAGCCTGCACAAAACTTACTTTTACAGTCCCACGTCCGGAATCCAATACAGTGTACCGCATATGGTGCCACTGACCTTATTCACATGGCAGAAATTGTAAACTCACACTCCAGATGGAAAATACCGACCTGGAAGATTGGCATAAAACTAGTGCTTCTATAAGAAGGGACTTCAAAAGATTTGAAACCCAATTTCAGCTGGTCACATTAGCATGGAGTTTTCAAATGCCGGCTCTACCGTTTCAGTGTTCTGTCCATCATTTT